TTCTATGCTTAAACATATTAATATATACATTCGGAATCATTTTAAAATATATTTAACTCACTTATGCAATTTCAAATTAACCATTGTCATTAATGTCAACCTAATTCCCACATCTTCCAATGATTTGTGTCACTTTTGTCACAATATATTTAATAATGATATCATCCAAATTTCTTTTCATTATATGGACAACAATACTTCCCATTTTCCAACTAATTAGGAAATGCTAATTATCAGTATTTGCTGTTTGGCACATTAATTATCAGTTTTCGTTGTTTCCTATGACTGGTGACTAATTTGAATAAAATAAAATAGGTGAAATGCAAAAATAAATTAATTATTGTAAAAATTACATAGCAAAGAGTTTTAGGCCTTTCCAACCGGATTTGCTGGATGAAGTGTTTATTCCTGAACCGATTCAATATACCGTCTCTTATCACGATATCAGCGATATCATCGGTTTATGCAGACAGGCATCCGTATCAATTTTACTGGTCCCAAAAAGCAAACGAGCAAAAATTATGTATTGCAAATTTGCTTTTAACAATGTTCCAGTTTACTGACTAATTGATATTTATTTTATCATTAATAAACTCAAAAAATGAACTTTAACCCTGAAAATGATCAATTGAATCATTACTCGAACAATGAAATTTATATTTCTTAAACCATGAAAGGCTTAGATTTTGTTTGCCACCTAATTAAGCATTTTACAATCAAACGAAATATCGTACCTTCAAATCTAATCATATTTATTCCTCACCTTCTCTTGTCAACTATGACATGATTCGTTGACATACCTGTACCCTTCCCTTTCTTTTGCATTTCCATCAATTCTTCATTTGTTTCATGAATAAGAAATTTTCATATAACGAATAAATTTTGCATGCATATTCTAACATTAAAATGAGTGAAATTATATATATACCATTCATTGTTAGGTTTATCGGCGCAATTGTCCCATATATTTATTTGTATAGAGTACTGTAGAAGAACGATGTATAACAGAAATCATCATCTCAATATGGATTTATTTCAAATTGATCGAACATTCGCTGAAAGCTTCTGGAGTATTCCAATAATTTTTCATTTGTTTGGTACAGCACTTGTATTACTTCATCCAGAAACACGAATATTAGCCTGGTAATTAATTATTATCATAATTTTTTGAAGAGATTACCTAAAAAGACATCGAGACCAAAATATAATTAACATTTCAGGTTCGAATTCTTTAACTCCCATTTATAAGCCAAATGAAAAATAAGTATAGCCAAGTGAAGTAAAGTTATTAAAAAAAAAAAGAAACATGCTTTAAAAAAAGAGAAGAAAAATGAATAGAATATAATTTGATAACATCTTTATCATTATCACTTTTAAGTGTTTTTTTTTCTTGATATAGAAAAGAAAAAAATTGGCAATTTTTGTATTGTCAAGAAATTAGCATAAACCTTAGCCATAGGAATTATTAATTAATTTCATTAGTTATAAAATGTGATTATGAATTGATCATTAAAACATTTGAAAATATAAATTTTATTGAAGGATATTTTTTCGACGAACATTTGTTTTCTTTTTGGCAACGATAATTTTAATCGAACAACTTGCAAATAATATGATGGCGGTTTCTTCTTTCATCCTTTTTTTTTTATTTTAAGAAAACTTGTATAAATCCTAAATTTATTCTTAAA